TCGTGATAGTGGATTATCGATTCGGGTTCTGTGATTCCTATTGTGTGGTTAGTGTTCCGAATTCCGTGCGTATTACTGCTACTAGTTCTACAATCATTATAAATTGGCGTTGCGCAATGGAGCTTCCAAGTACCGAACAATTTAACCTGCAAGCCAGTCCATCCGAGATCGAGGAATGAGTAGAGTGATTCGAACTGTGATGCAGTATTCGAAAAGGTGGTGTGCAAAATCAATCGGCCCTATTTCTCACTGCTGGCGGCCGTGATCTGTATTCGCTGCTNTGCTGCCTACTGAATTCCAAGCCCACGAACGTGCTAAATTCAATTCCACGATCCGTGCTGACCACATGTCTTGCCGTGATTTCATCCTACAGCTAAACAGACAGGCATCACGCTGCAACTACGGTGATCGTTTGGAAGAACAGATGTGTGACCGTTTGGTAGCCGGTATCAACAATCTCAGTCTACAACGCAAGTTACTGGAGAAGAAGGATTTAACTTTTGCCGAAGCCCGGTCAATCACCAAATGACCATGGATAAATTGTGCAAACCCATGTTTCTGACCTATATGTCCGAATCTGTGACGGGAAAACAGTATTTTCTGTTCAGGTTTGTTGATCAATTATTGAATTCGATTATTCATCTAGACCGGGGATGTTCACATAGTGGGATAAGATTTGTAGCACAAAACCCACGTATGAAATCGAGGATAGCCAAATTGCGTCCCCCTCAATGTAAATACGAATCAGACTCGGAATTCTGTTGACAGGGCACTGATCATAGGCCTCCGGGTAGGAGGTTAGATTGAAGTTCCCTTTCTCTAAACGGTGTAGCACTACCTCACCCACCTGAACGAACGTGCACGTATACAAACCAAATGATTTCTAGGCAAATTCCCGAGTTTCAGGCCACAATAGTGATACTAGTTAGTTTGGAAACAATTGGAAAACAATTGTTTCCCTTTTATTGTGTTCTTCTTATCATTATGGATAATTTCACTAGTAACAACACTATCTTCACTTCAATACATTGATCAACCTTCCTTGATATGCATTTCAGATTCCTAATCATTCCGTCCCATCAAGCATATCAGAATGTATTGTGCTCGAGCCTGTACTTCCTCCCACAGAAGACTGCATTTCACTCGGGCTGGTTTTGATTCAACTGTGTGCCCGAAACAGGTCGGATAAAACCATGGGTCATCGCCCCGGACCAGGGAATCAGTTAGATAGTCCAGCAACCCTGCTCGATTCCATTCTATCACATGTTCAGTGGGAAAATAAAGTGCATACAGACGGGTCAAGCGCTCGTGTTGTGGCAATCAAATGGCTACCTCTGTCGTGCGTTCCATCGAGTGCCCAGATTATAATACGCAAAAGTATGCAGGAAGACGGTGCAGATACCAGTGAGGACAGTTTTAGTCACAGACCCAGTTGTGCCCTGAGTATGGTTCTTCTCAGTGGAAACTATCTAAGTCGGTTCGAACAAAAATGTTCCTTGAAGAATCAGATGACTCTTGTGACTGATATTCACCAGATTAAAAGGTATGCCAATTTTTGGTTGGGATGATCTATTGTTACTATCTTTTTCAATAGTTCCAAGATAAAAAATCTCGTTTATCCAGTTCTGAATCGCCCTCAAAATACTGTCTGGACAAAGAACAGTAGTCCATCTGAAAGTATAAAGTTTCCAATCTTCTTCATGGGTCCTCACCCTTGTAGTCTCTTTGAGATTGACAGTGATTATAAAATTTTATGGTGTTGTTATTATAAGAGTTTTTAAGTTGCATTTGACTTGTATCTATGATAAACCATTTTTGATGTTTGAAATGTTCGAACGAACGATTATTTTACGCACAATAGGTTGCAAAAGAGAAGTAAATTACACATTTCAATGTTATACCATTCTAGTATGGTAGTCTCACAATGGAGAGTAGATTCAACTCACCTGTCACTTGTTACTTTCCCTGTGCTACGCAGAACAGATTCGTACTATTCGGTTATAAGAGAACTCACAAACCTTTTTGACCCCTTCTCCCTCACGCTCAGACCCGAACCTCTGAACCTCTGGTAGATTTGAACCAGTACGAATAAACAGTACACATAAAAATCGTAGGAACATTCCGATTTTTCGGTCTTGGTTAAGCATTGGTGAATGCCATCACTTCAATCATTTGCTATACAGAAATCACCAGAGCTAAGTTCAATCAGAAAACAGGAAGGTAAACCATAAATGAGGTAGTATAGAAATTCTATCCAAGAATGTATCAGACCGATTGCGGTGCTAGTTAAATTTATGGATAGTGTGCTATTCTTGCTAACTCTTGTACCTCAGTTTAGTATAGCCCGTCTGTTTTTTATCCAGTGCCTTCATACAATTTTTCTGCTCACTGGTTACCAGCGTTTTACAAAATCATCATTTTGAGTGATCATGAAAGGATCATTTTTCACAGAATTATTCTTAAGCGATCTTAAGTTTAACAATAGATCATTAAGCTATTTTGATGATCTAACTAAATTACAAATACCACACGATCGCGATTGGGTTGATTTGGTGACGGGAAGCGAGCCACTTCAAAATGCGGATTCTTCGAAAATTGATCCCCGTCTTTGTCACTTATAACTTGAATTGTTCAAATGATGCCCCTACAACCACTGTTGTTTTGAAGAGCCGGAAGAGAAAACATTTAAGCGTTTGAGTATCAAGTCATGGCATTTTGGTTACACTTAATGATTGCTGTCCTACTCGAATCAACTGAAGATGGAACCCCTGAGAATACAGCCGACCACCTGTTATCGGAATATCTTATCCAATAAAGCCTTTTCCTTACTGATATTTTACAAACGATAATGCATATTTTCCGGTCGTCAACAGCGCATATATTTTTTGCCCTTGTCGAGACTTCAAACCATAACCCCTGAGTCCCAACAGGGAGACAAAAAGTATGCACTCCGAACGAGTCCCAAATAAGACGAAACAGCAGTCCAGTATAATGTGTCGATCATCACAAATCTTTCCATCGCTTACAAATAGTGGGCAATTAACGATATCCCAAGGAGTGAAACCCACACCCCCAAGACCATCAAGCGTGCCTGGTGGACAATCGAATAGATTAGTCTGAAATTTACCAATATTAAAATGATTGAATGTTTTGTTCCGTTTTTATTTTTGTTGAATATCAAAATGTTCAATAAACGTTCAGTAAAAGGCTGCGGCCATACAAAGCTGCATGGGGAAATACAGGATTGGGGAAGATAGACCATGGTTGCCGGGTTCGAACTCAGGATCTCCAGGTGGCTAATTGAACGACCTTGCCACTCGACCACCGCCAGAATAGATCATCTGACTCGTCTTGTTCAGCGGTACTGGACATTGAGTCTTCAGATAACTATCGTCATGCCCAAATCAAACATTCACTCACAGACAATAACCTGACTAACTGTTGCCGAATCATCACAAAATACCAGAAGATAACACACAGACAGAGGAATCGGCGTGTTTCAGCCCAAGCTAAGGCGTCTGGACAAATTTGTCGCACACTGCTTGCACATACTTGTCAGTATCAGACCCGTGTTCCACGGTACGCCCAATCTTCATGTATTTCCGAATGGAGAATGTCTCTCGGGATTAATTGCATCAAAAATGAAGTGATGTAATACTATTTTGTCGAAGTGAGAAGAAAGAAAATGACTACCCGGTAACTTTGATAGGCAGCGTTTACGAAAAAATATCATATCAATCATTAGTGGATAGCATTTTTATTATTCGACAGACACAGTGACTAGTGCATCTCGTTTCCAGATGGAGAAGAAATGAAACGTTTCCCAACTAGATGGAAAACACACCATTGGAAAGAGATTGATCGAGTAATCAAGTCTTAAGCAGGACTGGTGGGTTGCTGCCTGAACCGCGCGGCTTGAACGTAGCCAGAAAACGCACTGCTAGAAGGATATTATTGTTCGTGATTTGGGAACGAAATTTGGAACGTGTTGTGTTCGGTCTAGACGTACGAACGACACGAACGATTCTTGCTTAGCCCCCAACAATAACGTGGAGAGAGGACACAGCTCGAGACAACAATGGGAATGTATTCTTCTGATTAGATTTCGATACGCAGATATATAGAACAAGTCACGCATACATGAACGGCGCAGTGACGCACCAACCAGATTGCGTCCTTGACATATCGATTGATCCATCGGACAAACATTAGCTTATTCATTCTGTGATCATCCAATCAGACTCAACTTGTCTGGAGCGTTGCGAGCGTGCGTGAGGCCTGACTTGGAGGTGTGCGCGATCGGACGGGTTGATTAAGCTCCGTCCTAACAGAACCGCAGTGGTTGTGATTACACTACAGGTAGGTACCTCAGCCTTTCTGAAGGGATCGGGGACCAGATTGTCGAAAAAGTTCTTGACTTGGGCAGGTGACCAGAAACAACGTCTTTTTGAAGAACTATTGGCAATTTTATTGGTCTTACGACAAACCAGTTTGTCTTTGGCTTTCTGGATGCTTGTCGAGAATTTGTTTCGGCCTTGTACATTACCAGTGGTTGGAAGAGGGAACCGAGCATAAACATCACCGTTGAAAATTTTACTTTGTTGTACCGACANGATAGTGTTATTTACTAGGCCTGGGAGAAGTGGGAGAAACAAAAACAAGTGCCAGCCTTGGGAATGGATTTTAGGGGGTCGCGGGGACTAGTCTCATCATCCGACGTGGAACCGTAGAATGTGCGGTGAAAAAGAAGTGTTGGGTGAAAAATATGATGCAAGAATAAAAATGGTCTCATGGACGAAGATTGTAAGATGAATAAGAATTCGAAAAAAGGGACAGTAAGTCCGTTGCAAGTCATTGGTGTTGGCATTGTCCTTTGTACAGTTGAGAACATGGTTGGGCATGGTAACGATGGGTGATGAGCTATGCACAAAGGCAGGCATCTCCGCCCGCTGTAGACTATGGTGACGGTTATCACGGGGTGTGCTTAGCAGTCCTTACTGTGTCGTTGAAGTATTGAAATCATCTAGGTTAACGATCTGAGCGTTGGAGTCGAATTGGAAAATATTTTCGATCACCAGCCATTAAGCAGGAAATTCAGAAAAACAAATCACTTGACACAAATTGGTATAGACAGATAATCGCACATGAAGTTCACAGGGTTTCGGTTCGAAGAGCTTCAAATAAAATGGCATGCGAAGTTTTCTCACACCAGTCGAGATTGCATTTTTTAATGATCAGGCTAGAAAGACACTTCGGATTCATGAGAGTACTGGAGGATTTGATTCGGTTATTTGGTAAATTTGGTCGTGTAAAGAGCAACTGAAACGTGAACTGAAAAGTCAAGAAGTAGTACTGGACAGCTGTTCCGACTTGATTGGGTCTCATCTGCAATGGAAACCGGTCGACCCAACTGAGGATCGAACGCGGTACCTGACAGGTAGAACTTTAGCACGCTGTCCACTTGAAAAATAGTCAACTGATTATACCGTTTTTCATTTTGGCTGGAAACCATATGGCACACATCTCACTTATCTCAGTACTAGCCACCAGGGTTATGACTTGGAGATAGTGAAGTCATCGCCATCATCATCGTACAGCGAAATATAGTGAGGCGAACTTCACTGATCGCCGCCAAACTCACAATGCATATAAGGTTAGTGGTAAAATTTAAGGTGGACAGGGAGTGAATCTATCTTGAGGATAGGGAGAAGAAGATGAACCACTATGGTCAACACACAGAGTGCATAATCGAACTCTGCATACATACCGTTTCAAGCATTCTGACCTGATAAGAAATGATAACAAGAACGCCACTGATGTCGTTTCGCTGTCATATCCTTCAATGTCTCCTGCCAACCGGTTGTGGAATCTTTCAACCCCCAACCTGGAAGGTGAGAGACACCTACTCTACCTAATGGCTGTGTGCATTTTTTCATGCCTCGTTTCCACGTTATCTGTTGATCTCCACGTTGTTTTCTCCAGCCCGGATTAGCTATAGCAAATAAAGCGCGGTGCGGCAGACGACTGCTGGGCATACGAAATATGTGCCCTAGCCGGTGAAGTCTACTAATCTGAATTTTGTGTGCCAGCAGGTTTATACCTGATAGACTCCAAACACACGACGGCTTACCTCCACATTACTAACCCGTTCGCTCCATCCAACATGGGATAAACTGCATAATCACCGATAATCGAAAACTTCCAGTCAACGGATATCTTCTACTCGCAAATTCAGGGTCTCAGAACCGTAAAGCAGAACTGAACAAACGGTGGCACAATATACACGACCTTTCAGCTTCAGTGAAACGTCGCGTCTACGCCAAAGGTGTTTCAGTTCTNGCCTTGGAAATGAGGGCGGTTACCTCCTTTGATGCACTACCGTCATTGGTCACGCAACTACTTAAGTAGGAAAAGCAATCCACCATAAAAAAATCCTGACTATTTAGTGTCAGAGCGGGAGTAGATGAAACCCAGTCCTGCAGTATCACTTTGCACTTTGAAGGTGC